CATGCCCACGTTCGGCTGAAAGCAAGTTCAGTGTAAGCGGAGACGTGGATCGTCACGACCCTGGAACTGACGACGTATTCGAACAGCCTAGAATTTTCTATAAGAAGGTATGCTCAATCTTGTGTACATAGTATAGACATACAGGAATGACGCAATGGGGCTGCAAGAGGTAAATTCGAGAGAGCGCGGGAGAAACTTAACCAAGGAAGAGGTGACAGGCTCAAACCACTTTTTTTCGGTCTGAGCTGTGCGAAAAATCTTTTCTCAATTTTATCAATTTTCTTAAATTTTAGAATGATTTTGGGTGAAGGTGAACCACTTTATCATTTTTTTTGCTCACTGTTCTTCATTATTTCAAAACCCGTCCTTCAAATCAAATCTTCCCAATAAATCTTTCTAATATCACGTTAAAATATTTTTTTATAAAGTCTATGAGTTTGATTGCCGCATGAGACACCTGTGCCCCAAAACGCATTTTATCGAATTGCCAAAACACCGTTACCAAATTTGCAGCTGAGGCATCCTTAACGAATTCTACAGAGATTTCTACACGAGTTCCAAGAGACATACTCTTTTCCAATGTTAAAAATTTTCATCTACTACAGAAAGGGAGCCCAGCACCCAAATAAATGTCTCGTACATTTCCACACAGTTTTGAAGCAAAGTTCGAGTTTCGATTGTAAAAAGGTAAAAATGAGCGAGTTCTTGCTAAAATGTCTCGCTGCCACCGTTGGTCCCATAGTCTTTCCTTTTGAGATGTTTATTCTGTCTTTTCTATTTGAGAAAATTGGTATCCGAGAATTGAACGTCCTTAAGTGTAATTAGACCTTTGACGCTTCAATGCAAATCAGAAATTTCTCTGCTTGTAGTTTGGCGCCTCTACAAGCACTGAGCTTTCAGGTCTCCAGAAGTAATATTCATTTTTTATAGGTCTTGAATGAACAAGAGCGCACACGCATGATTGAAAACATCTTCGACACGATGAAAGATTGTAAGTCGTACATCCAGGACCGTGCCATCCAGAATTTCGGAAAGGTGAGTTGAAAATGTACCAATGATGGACTTATAATTGACGAAGAAAATTTTCAGGTCGATGCTGAACTTGGAAACAGAATAAGAAAGCTGGTGGACACTTACAACTCTAAGAAAGTCAGTTTATTGTTTGGTAATTTAACTTCAGGTAGAAATAAACTTCTCTTTTTCAGCAAGCTCGACCACATATCTAAATGGCTGCCTTCGACAAGAATTATTTATTGACCACCTCAACAACTTTACACTCTTCGTAGCATTTAGTACACAATAGCTATTCATTATGACGAATGCAAGCCTTTTCACCATCGCAAAAGCTTACCTTTGATCTGCCAATAAAGTTTGTTTCGTTCAAATCTGGCTAGTAGGTAAAAGCTCACAAGTATGCAAAGCTAACTGTGATGTGAGAATATGTACCCTCGCTACCCATCATGTATTAGATTGGCAAATGATCGCAAAGTGCAACGCTGTTCTGAGAGTGTTATCGCCTGGAGCGGCTAACGAAAGGTTTTGCTCTAAATACTCTAAATTCCTAGACTAGCCGCATCCTGAGAGCTCGGGTTCAGGATCAACGCGCGGCGTCCCATTTTTTCCATTAAAGCACACTACTCTCTCAGCTGTGCAGCCCCGCAAGCATCTAGGCCGCTCATCAATAGGAAATCAGGTATCCTTGGAAAGAACGAGAAGTGACGTTTTATGTTTCTGTTTTGAAAAGTGTTACATTCTTGTAAGAAAGCGTATCAGGTCAAACTTTGGTGGGAACCAAATGATTTTTGAGTAGACGACAAAGGTGTGGAATGAAGGTTTAGTCACACGTACAGCAGATTTGAGGAGGACGAATAATACATCAAACCTCGGGCTCCTTATAAGGTGGGGGAGGGAGGGGCGGGGCCGATCCCAACACAAACTACATGTAGACGGGCAACATGCTTGAAAGAAGAAGCCGTCGCGTGGTCGACATCTGGTGCAGAACTGCTACTCACTCATTAGTGATTAGATACTCAAGAATGAATGGCTAAGAAAATGCTTATGGACTTCTCCATAGCCTATCAATACTATAGATAACATGGTTGTTGATTTACAAAATCATCAACACAAATTCTCAAGTATTTTTGTTAGTCTCAGAATGTGTCTACGACAACGGTCACAACAGCATATGATAACAGCGTTTGGCAAAAGTCCCTTGCAAAGTGATGTCGAGGAACTGTATTCGGTGTTAAATCATTTTAGATAAGTCCCCAGGAGAAAAAAGGTGATCCAAGAAGGAGCCATTAGCTAAAGGTTTATCTGCAGCAAACTGTGCATGCGTCCATTGACTGAAAGTTCATATGTTTGATATATTACAGTTGATCAGCACCTTTGTCCACTGAAATGATGTGAAAAATTTGAGGACGAATACCTCATAAAGTCAAGGAACAGCAGGAAGAGCATAGTGTTCTGTGTTTTCCTTTTGCGCAAACAAACGAAAGTTTTTTTTGGGTAAAATTTACTTGTGACGAGGAGTAGTTAGTTTGGGACAGAGATTGTCGAACGAGTCGGTGGTTTGTTCTTATGAAACATCTCAGTTTGTGGTTGCTCATAAAGGGAGTTTGCTGT